CCTTCGCGAGCACACCATTAGGTCAAGGTAGACGGCTAGATCATCACACCTTTCTCAAGGGCCCATCAGTCAACCCTACTCAAATACACGGTGCTGCACACGGCCTTAGAGCACACCCGCAGCGACAGTCAACCCACAAACCCCCGGTTTCATACGCTTACGGGTGCGTTTTCTTCATGTCCTACACCTATCTCTACTTCATGCCATCCTATATCAGTGCACCTTCGCAGAGCACGCGATCGCCTCCGAAACCAACCAAATCCGAGGCGACCACGAACGTAGAAGAGCAAACCCACGCGAGCGACTCAGATCAGCCTGCACTTATCCGCTACGCTCGGCTAAAGCAGGTACAAGAATCCAACCAGAACCAGAACATTGCGGACGCACCGCGCGTCAGTAACAAACCTCCCAACCCCGATAGGTGGAGCGTGAAGGACACGTCCGTCAACATTGCGAGTGCCTTCCACCGCGCAGCCAACAGTACAATCATTCCCGCACACGACTCCAGCGCAAGCAACACCTCATCCAGTTTCAACAACTCATCGATCATGAACCCGAACGACTCTTGGGCGTCGGGAATGCAGCGGAGGCAGAACCTTCCTCGGAGCACCTCCGTCGAGTACGAAAAAGAGACTCAGTCGACAGTTAATCGCAGGCTTGGGGCGCCGCCGAACAGAAATACCCTCGCGCGACCGCAGAAGCCGGCGACCAGAGAACCACCTCTTCGAACCGCACCCGAGGAGGCCAGAGAAGAGCAAGAGAGCACCCACACTACCACACAGAGGACGAAGGGCCCGTTGGACCACATCGTTGAGGCCACCCGACGGCTCGCGCCCGCAACGTTCTTGATGCGCAGGCAGTCGGAGGAGCCTGAGCCTCGCCCCGCTCCAGGAGTGCAGGACAAGTCGTCCAGCTACGACTACTCAGCCGAAGAACGCGAATTCAGGGCGTTGTCCCAACAAGAACAGGCTCAGCGCAAGGCGACGAACGCGGCGAGCAAACGCAATCGAATGTCTACGGACAACAAGGCCTACCTACCATCTCAGTCAGATCCGGAGGATTCTGACGAAGACTGGGAGGATGATGGGAAGAAGGGAAGGAGGAGAAAGAAGAAGACGGGAGCTGCAGGCGGTCCTCTGACCTCGCTACCGGTAGCTGGGTATGACAAACGCAAGAAGAAGCGGAGGGGTGCGAAGGGAGCAGAGGACGAAGAAGAGAGCAGCGAAGAGGAGGATCAGTCATATGAACATGTTACCGACGAGGTGAGTATATGCCGTGTATATGGCAGTAGTAGCGAATATTTACGGCTGCACAGCGATCTGGACGTACCACTTCGTTTCTCCGTACGTCTGTGCCGCCACCGTCGCGGCGATCGGTACCCCGAAGCTCTGTTCCCCCCGAGGTCGGCAACACTACCAGTTTTCTCGACGCCCTAGACGTCGAGGACGGCCTCCAACCTACTCTCCATTCGATAATAGAAGAGGATGAGTCGGCCGAACTTGACGACAGTGTCGAAGTCTTGTCGCAACAGAGCTTTTCCATAGGCGCGGTCCTCGGAAGAGTTGTCCATGCGATATTCTCCCTATTCTCAGTCGTCATGGCCTCCGTGTGGTCGGCTTTCACGTACTTGCCGTTCTTATGCGGCCGTGCCCTCGGATACCTCGTCGAATTCGCCGTATTGAGCCCTGCTCGCCGTTTATTGAACATCAATACATCTCCACTGGTCAAGTTGAGCAAGTACTTGACCGTGGGGCTCGGCTTTTACGCGGCTTGGTACGCCCTCAACAGTGGTCTCATTGTTCTTCCATCACGTCCAACGTACACACCGCCGTATCGTCCCCCTGCAGACATTCCCCCCACCGACCTTTCCGAACTCTCATCACGTCTTCTTCGTCTTGAAAATGTCCTTTCAGGCCTCTCTCTAGATATTGTCCGACTCCGCGAAGACACTCGTACTCAACATACGCAGCTTGGCACGTTAGAACACCAGCTGCACCGCGATAGTAGTCAAGTCTACGAGGTACAATCGAAGTTCTCAACAGCGACACAGGGCTTGCAAGCAGTCCAGCAGGAAGTGCGGTCCCTTCATGCACAAGTAGTGGCCCAGAAGGAGCGAGAGCTGCACCAGCCTACAGGACCTAGCGCCGACGAAGAAGCTCGTCGGCTTCTTCGCGAGCTCGAACAGCGAGTCGGCACGGTAGAAGGTGGTGTCAAAGAGGCTCTGGAGGTCGGCAAGCATGCTAGCTCGGATGTACCCGCTGGGAAGATTTTGGAATGGTGGAACAAGCTCGCGTCCGGCAAAACCTCCTCATTGACTATCAAGACATCCGACGGCAAAGACGTGATAGGTGTCATCAACCAGCTCGTCGACTCCGCTGTGTCGAAGATGTCCAAGGACACGCTCGCGCGCCCCGACTTCGCGATGTACTCTAGCGGCGCGAGTGTGGTACCTAGCTTGACAAGCGAGACGTTCGAGATCAAGCCGCAGGGGTTGACCAGCCGCGCTCTAGGCTTGGTCACTGGCAACGGATACGCTGTCGGTCGCCCACCGGTTACCGCTCTTCACCACGAAACGCATAACGGTCACTGTTGGCCGTTTGCTGGTGACCAGGGTCAGCTCGGCGTCATGCTCTCGATGCCTGCCTACATCTCAGACGTCACCATCGACCACGTCGCCAAAGAGGTCGCCACGGACATGCGTTCTGCGCCGCGGCATATGGAGCTCTGGGGTCTCATCGAAGGCGAGGAGAACACCGCCAAGTTCAATACGTGGAAGGCGTTCCAGGCTGCTCAGAAGGAGGAAGCGTGCTCTGCCGCGAAGGCGAAAGGGGAGGAGTGCGCCGAGGACCAGGACGGATACCCGAAGACTCTTCCCAGCTCGGTACCGTACATGCGCATCACCAACTTCACCTACAATATCTACGCGCCGAACCACATCCAAACCTTCCCCGTTCCGCAGGAGATTCAAGATCTTGGTATTGATTTCGGCGTCGTTGTGCTCGTGGTGAAGAGCAACTGGGGGCGCGAAGACTTCACCTGTCTGTACCGCGTCCGCGTACATGGTGGGCGTCTCGGTAGCATACCAGAACCCTTGCCCGAAGAAGCTGCTTCATAGTCTCCCAACACTTGGAACCGCCCACCAAGTATCACGACCTCACGACAATCAAGCAACGTAATCAGTTTCCAAGTAATCCGCGCGCATTTTTATATTTTTTTATTAGTTACCGTTCACGTGCATTCTCAGTGGAATACCTCTGCCGTCTGTTCATATACATATCGTGGTCTGTTTGAAGTTGTCGTTCCGCTTTTCAGTTGCATATCTCCTTGTGACCTGTATGTATGCATCGCTGGAAGTAATTCGTCCTTTGTCTCTTTGTACGAATAGATGCTGTGTGCGTCACCAGATTCATTGCCTCTCAATTAATCGAGTACTTGGGGTATCGACCAGCAACTTCCGTTGAGCTAGTTGTCACAGTGATCGTAAATCGTCCAGAAGCCTACTGTCTACGCTCCAAAGCAGGGTACATATGTGCATATCGTTCGGGAATTTCTGGGTCGCGTGAAACAGCAAGTGCCAGGGAGTAACTAAGTGCACACATAAGCATATGTACAGGTTTGAAGCGAACACGATAACCACGAGATCCTTCATGTCCGCCATCGGGCGCCACATAAGTTTCGTTTCAGCCCGTCGGTAAGAAATGTGGCGTCAACACTGCTGGTTCGTATGATTAGCACACATGGTGCATGAGCCAGCTCACAGACTTACAGTTAATCTCCAGCCTTGGTTATTTGTGAGTTCTGTAGCTTTGTCTGAGTTTCAGGACATGTTGTCACGTGCTGCAGAAATTCCGCCACAGTGTACTCCGTGTCGCGCCTTCGAGTGAGTGCCCATCCACGGTCGCCTCGGAGAGTATCAGCGGCAAGTGCGTTCGCAAATGCGTCCTGGCAGCCTTGGCAGCAGACACCCCATTCTATCGTGGGGGTCGGGTTGAACGCAGGCACATAGGGTAGATGGGTGCTGGCTAGAAAACGATATCTGTGTTCCCGAGTCGGGTTGTTGCGGACGTATGCTTCCGTGTTCTGGTCGGTGAGCAATGCTTTGGCATGCTGCCGTTGCCGATAGTTTTCATGTGTCCTGGAAGTTCCAGAAGCGATGAGCTCTGCTAGAGCTTGCTCATTACCATGGGTAAAGAGAGCGAATAGGCGAGCGTGATCCCCGCTTACGAGCTTGACAGTCTTGTAGTCTCTCTCCCTACCACCAACTCGAATGACGCGTCTTCCGGGAAGGGATGAGACGACCGGAATCTGGCCGTTTGCGAGTTGCTTGTCCGTCAGCTTGAAGACAGACTTGGCTTCGGCCAGGGTCATGGGCATGGTCTTGGGAGAATACCGTAAGCACCATGCGCAACATCGCGCACATTCCACTAGGTACATGAATGCACCAAAGCGGCCACATGAGAAACATGCTGGGTTAGTCAACACGTGATAGACATCATAAGCCGTGAAGAATGTAGCACATTTGGTGCGAAGGAGAGTGGCGAGGAGAGCGGGAGCCGCGACGACGAGTCGGCCATAGGGAAGCAGCGTGTCGACGAGGCGTTTGGAGTTTTCGCAGACTAAGCGAAAGGTGACGAGAGTGTAGATACTGCAGTGGCCTAGGATTTCATGGAGCGATTCCACGGGCAAAATAGCGATTTTACCCAGCGTTGACTCGACACGAATTGGCGGCCTGTTACCCGCAAGGAAAGTTGAAGGCGGTGCAGGCGCAGTGCTGACTGCTTCTCTAAAGACATTTGGTGCATAAGAGAGCGATAGCAAGGTTTCCGACATGGTAGCGAGCAGTAGATGGGCTGTTGGTGAGTAGCCTATGACGTAACTTGATCAGACGACTGGGAGGAGTATTGGCGAATGATTGCATATGAATACCCTTGAGTGTTCCCAGGTGGACAGGTTTCTTTACGAAAAAAGGTCCTTATTGACTACAGGATATATTCTCACAGGCCTCGTTGGCGTAGTGGTAGCGCGTCGCACTTGTAAACTTTCCAGCTTTCAATGCGAAGGCCACTCGTTCAATCCGGGTACGAGGCAAACTTTTGCCTCTCACATTTTGTAACTTCTAAGACATGTGCGATCTCTAAAGAATTAGCAGCCACCCATATCTGAAGCAAAGGTTCTTCCATAATAATGAGTGAAGCTTGAAAGCTACCAAGAATGACTCTAGATACTAGGACGTAAGTACCTGCCGCATTGGTCGCGATGGACGCCCAAAAGAAGGGAAGGTCTCTTCAAGTTGTCCACTGACTTGCCCCTTGTAAAGACTTGGAGGTCCAACGGCATGGTTGACACGAAGCGCAAGAGAGACTCACGCGACAAGCCTCGGCGAAGGTATCGCTATGTAAGTTTCATTCATGCACCTGCTTTCAAGACTACCTATTGGCTTCTTACCATCCAAGCTTTAGGATGGCACGCCTATCCGACAGAGCGTAGAAGGTCCCGGTGTTTGGATTACATGTATTAGGGGGAAGGAAAGGCAGGCCGTCGGCGAGTTGCATGACATCTTTGAGCAGGTGAGAGCTCAACAGACTGTCCATATATTCGGTGGCACTCAGTCTCTGAACAAGCTCGCAAACGACTTTTGGCCTTCTGAAGCTACAGAAGATCGAAGCGCAGCACTGGAAAGCGACGAAGACGAAGAAGAGGACGACGATATCGAAAAGCAAATCGCCAAAGAGATGTCGGGCATGAAACGTCCGCGGAAAGAGACAAGGTTCAGTATGTCCGCCCTCGTGTTGTGATGACTGAAAGCCTCATGGCTCTTCATAAACTTTTGTCTGCAGCGAGCTGCCAGACCAACACATCCTGTTGTACGTCTATCCGTGCCGTGCTGAGAACATATTTTTGCTGACGGTATCTCACTCTAGTTGTCGCGCTATCGTGCAAGGCCCCAGTGGACCCTGTCCAGCTCGTAGTGCAGTACGTTGATACTGTGGTCTCCTCAGGCGTCACACGAACTCGGTAAGTAGACTATTCTACTTATGTGCCTACGACGCTCATGATTACGGGTTAGATATACACAGCGACTGACCCCGGTATCGGCAACCTGCATCACGAATATCCCGGAGATAACAGCCCTCTGCACGAAGCTGTTGGAGCCATTTGCATCCGAAGGCAAAACATTCACCGTAAGTGGCTGACATTAGACTAAATTACTGAACAAAACCATTCAATATCCTCTACTCGTAGTATAAAATTGAGCTTCGCTTACGGAATCACAACACGCTTGACAGAGCACAGATCATTCCGGAAGTCGCAAAATGTGTTCCTGAGACATGGAAGGTTAACCTCGAGAGTCCTGAACTTTTCATCCTGATGGAAATTTTCAAAGTGCGCCTTCATATCCTTGTGGCGTATATCTTGCGCTTATATCGTTTGGCATTCACAGAGTGTCTGTGGTATTAGCGTTGTTCGTGAATACTATCGTCTCCAGAAGTTCAACGTGATGGAGATTGCGAAAACGGAGGAGCCCGGATTCAAGGAAGGCGACGGTCGTATGCAAACGCCCGGAGGGTCAAAGCTAGCGAAGGGCGAACCTTCTGTCTCGGCATAAAACACTCCAACCCCCACATGACCACGTTATGTGTAACATGGGCAAAGCTCGATCGATCGGATCCTTTTGTTGTTGTGTACTACAGTGGGCACCTATTGAAGGGAGGGGTATCCACTTGGCGCGCAGTTCATTGTGTGAGGCTGTATAGCATAATATGTTAGTATTGTTGACATGAAGTACGGGCTCAGGGTGGCTCTTGATCCCCTGTGGATCTTTATGGGTCCCTGCGTCCAGTCGAATCACTAGAAGTCGCTTTGGTAAAGTGTAATTTCATTGTTTCCTGGCGCTAAATGCCTGTTTCCGAGCCTCTGCACGACGAAGATCATCTCTGTCTGTATTCAGTTGACTGTTTAAACCTTCTCCTACTCTGGCCTGTACTCTAGTCTATATTCTGTGCACACAGGAACCTACATAGCTTAATGTGAGGTCCATTCATCTTCGAATATATCGTTTGCTGCTCACACTCTGTGTCAGTCGATTAGATCTCGTTGGGATTCTGAGTCTCACGCTTGAGCACAGACAGAAACTTGTTATGTCGCATTCATTTTACTATATCGATTATACGGTGCGTGCAGAATAAAAGATAATACAGTAATATGCGACACTGTGTATGCTCAACTTCTACAACCGCACATCGGCTGGGTCGATGGAAGGGTTTTCCTGGGAGGTACAAGATTCAAAAGGAAGAGTATGGCCTTGAAGCCAATTCCGCGTGCAGTGTATGGGTCTTATCATGTGTTGAGCATTCACTTCGCGCGATTCTACCAGATGGAACTCACCCTCGCATAGGCCTGTTTATCGTTTAGCAACCACATCAAGCCGGAGCTTGTTCCACACTGTGTCCCACATCGACTACCAGTATCGGCACTGCCTGTAAAGCGACAGGAGCGTTTGCTAGAACCAGAGCCCCGGCCTCAGACAGTTCAGAGTAAGTCGACTGCCTTTGAAGTGCAATCTTCCAAGGTTTTCTGCAACCGGTTGATCATTTGACAAAGTCATACCGACGTTTTATTTGTATGACTGCTGAGGGTGAGTAGGGTGATTGTGAGCTTGTGTGAATGCCCATAACCCCTTGCACCTCCGTTTCATACGGTGAGTTCATGTCCTGCATTGTCGGGTACTCAGACAACGCAGGTATAGACAACTGAAGATCTGTACGATCTGATGGTAGGTTGGCTCACGTGCTTCGATTTCTGGATCTTTACCCAGCACCCTTGAGCCCACGACCGCCTACTGCATTGTCGAGTACACTCGGGCAATGCAGGTATACACAACCGAAGATCTGTACCTAGGTTCTAACGATCAAGCGGTGGATTGACGCTTATATTTTTCTACTCGGCGACTCCGCTGATATTTATTCAACCTGCTCGTAATGCAAGTAATTTAATAGGGACCTTCGCTAGAGCCATAGACATTTATCCATCGGGACATATCCTAGCTAAAGTCTCTGGCATCCTCATGCTTGTGCCGATTCCAAACGCAAAACTTCACGAGCTCGCAATGACATCTTGTACCGCAGGCAAGCTAAAGTTCGTCAATTCGCCCCTTTTGGGCTTTGGTGGCACATTGTCTTCGAGAACACATATGCCCCGCATGCCCCACGTCTTTACTATACCGCAAGGTACGGACAATAAAATGAAATAAAATGATCAGCTACTCATTACATACATTGTCGTGTAAGGCGTAGTGTGGTGCAACAGACAACGAAAGGAGAGCACTGTATCTTGGCCTTCCTGCCGGACGGTCTGAAGCTCGGCTTCCAGGACTCCTGGAATATTGTAGCTCATTCCAGCCGCCTCTCGTGATTGAGAAGCGTCACCGCCTGCTCGCTCTTCCACGATATGTGCCCTTCGATGGATTCTAATAGGCTCCCTAGCACACCCGCCGTCTAGATTCATCAGCACAAGGGACCACGACCTATCTTCCGACAGTGCTAATCTCTTCTCCTTCCTCTGTCCGTGTCATATCGCGCGCCAGGGTGATGCAAAGCAGATCCACCCACTTGAAAACGAGTGCCAACTAGTTCTGATTTCGCGTCTTCCTCCATGCATGCCCCTTCCCGCAGTTTCTCCTGCCGAATCCTCTCGCCCGTTAGTGGCTCCGCGGCTTGACATACCGCGTGAGGTTCATCAAAGGTCGTCGAAACTACCTACATCAGGTATCTGACAGAGCTCTGCTCCACCGTGCGGCGGGTGTTACTTCCTGCAGCTACGAGCAGTCATCCAACTAGGCTGATGGGTGGCTCACCACGATATCGTTTTGGGAGGTCTTAACGCTGTGCGGGTTGACGTTTGAGTCAATGTGCGGGCTGGCTATACAGTATTCTGTAACGGGTAAGGCGGCGGCCAAACGCGTCATCGTGCGAGAAAAGGGACGTAGGACGAGGTGGGTGTGTACGGGAGGTCGCAACCCAGGATAAGAATATATATACTGCGAGTACAAGGCAGGTTCTGGGCTTCGAGGGTCAGCTCTAGGCGACGGTACACGTCCTTGTATTCGCGCTGTTTCGGACATGAACCAATTATCTGTTAATGCTCCGCTTGCACGCTTATCACGTCATCATGTGGCTAAGGGTGTTAGAAATACCTCGTAGTCGGTGTAAGTATCCAAGAGGTAGAAAGCCAGTTCAATGTTAAACGTTAAAGGGGGAGGGGGGAGCGGCGGGCCGGTGAGGACGTGGCGTGCGGAGACGGCGCTTAACTGATATCCCGAGTCCCGACTTCCTCCTGCCTACAACTTCCCATAGCTTTCGATGATCGTGCCCTGCAGTTGTATCCGTGTACGCTGGAGGATGTGTACCAATGGAATGCATAATCTGCTACTGCATCATCTACGCCACGCCACGATAAGCTTATTCAAGTTTTCCCAAGATCATGATGTGATTATCCAACGTAAGTAAATGTTGTTGTTCTTTAACCTGTCACATGGAGCATTCACACGGGAATTATAGCAGGACAAGCTCTGAATATGACGTATAGATTACGCTAGCATACATTGCTGCGTTAAGATATATATCTTAATATACGTCGCCCTGCCCATGCGCCACATTATAGCGACTAAACATATGGTAATAATATACATCGGGGTACGTGGCAGAGACAAGGCATATTGATGATTGGGTGCCGCTGTGGCGGCTAGCCGTTATCCGCTGTAGGTCCCAACGAGGATAAACCACCAGTCGGCAGGTCCGTGGTCCACTGGGTATCCGGGTGAGCAGTCATCCCCTTCCGAGCTCTGCTGAGTACTTACTAGCTTCGTCGAAGTATTGCTCACTGGTTCGACACTGGGTATCAGGGCTCCCGCAATTGAGCTCACGTTGGACAGCTTGAAACCCCGGCGGTGGATATTCTCGGCGCCTTCTTGAGGACATCCAGGTGCGTTCGCGGTGTGTTCAGTCATTGCGGCGTTCGTTGATATCGAATGTAGGGCAAGGATCTGCTGAGGTTCTGTAGAGATGGCTGTGAAGGGGCTGCGAGATGGT